CAGAAAGTGATTGGGAATGGCCATGAGGCAAATGGAATATGTTTGCTGGACACTCCTGGACAGAACCATGGACAACCTGGAAAAGCTGCTTTTGGGTCTACATCTACAGAGTCCATCATCATCTTTCTTTTTCTGCATTAAGTCATTTATTCCCATAACTGTTTAAGGGAATTAGTCTGTCCAGTCTTCATTGTGAGTCATGTGAATTGTCAAAACATTGTAGAAGCAGTTATCCTTTGAGTAATAAAAGATCTTCTCCATTTCATATTGTACACTATGATGTGTAAGAGCCTTACCACTTACCTTCCATGGGTGGCTACAAATATTTTATCTTGTTCATTGATGACTTTTCTCGGTTCACTTGGATATTTTTTATGAAGTCCCGTGATGAAATTCCTAGACTTGTGAGGCAATTCCATGAATTTGTTCTAACCCAGTTTGATACCAGAATTAAAATTTTCAGATCCGACAATGCAAAAGAATATTTTRAGAAAAACCTATCCTGTTATCTCACTGATTTGGGGGTTATTCACCAAAGCTCCTGTGTTAGGACCCCATAACAAAATGTAGTTGCTGAAAGAAAAAATCAGCATATTGTTGAAATTGCAAGAAGTATCCTATTTGCCTCACATGTCCCTACAAAATTTTGGGGTGATATTGTTCTCACTGCAACCTACCTAATCAATCGTATGCCATCCAAGGTTTTGGGGTTTAATTCTCCTTTCAGTCTTCTTCATCCGAGCAAGGATCTTTTTCCTATTCCTCTCCGTGTCTTTGGATGCACTTGTTATGTACATATCCCAAGTGTCCAGAGACATAAATTTGAACCAAAAGCCCACAAGTGTATCTTCCTTGGTTATCCCCCCACACAAAAGGGTTATTGTTGTTTTGATCCGAAGACTGCCACTTGGTATGTCTTAATGGATGTCACCTTTGATGAGCTCTCTTCCTTTTATGATTCTTCTCATGAGAGGCATTGTCAAAAGGGGGAGAATTTGTCATAGTTGCTTGCTCTCCCCCTTCCTATCCCAATTGAGTCTTCTATTGAGACTCTTCCTCCTTCAGATGAGTCAAGGGAGGATCAATCATTTCATTCTCATTCCAGTGTTCCTACCCCTCCTCCTTTACCTCCTCGTCCTCTTTTTAATCCCAGGTTGTACCAACAACAGAGAACCAGAAGTGAGCAGATTGTTTCCCCTACAACACATTACCCTCTTACACTTCCAGTCAGAGAAGAGACAATAGGTACTGATACAACCCCTTTGGAGTCATCCTTTCCGGACCTTGATATCCATATTGCTATTAGGAAAGGAAAAAAGGAAGTGTGCTGCACATTGCATTTCCAAACACCTTTTTTATAGTTTGCTCTCTCCTTCATATTTTGGCTACCTTTCTTCTGTTGCTTCTAACCCAATTCCCAGGTCTGTGTTAGAAGCTCTTACTATTCCAAAATGGAGGGATGCTATGAGAACAGAAATTGATGCCTTGCACAAGAGTGACACTTGGGAAGTGGTTGATTTACTTGAAGGGAAGGATCCAGTAGGCTGTATGTGGGTTTTTACCATCAAATATCATGTTGATGGCACCATTGAAAGATACAAGGCTAGGTTGGTTGCAAAAGGTTATACACAGACATATGGAATTAATTATTTGGAGACCTTTGCTCCTATTGCCAAGATGACTTCTGTGAGTGTTCTGTTATCTCTAGCTGCACACTCAAACTGGCCACTTTATTAGTTGGATGTAAAGAATGCATTTTTGAATGGAGAGTTACATGAGGAGGTTTATATGTCTCTTCCTCCAGGGATGTATGAAACAGATATGAAAGGGAAGGTCTGCAGGCTAAAGAAATCTCTTTATGGACTTAAACAGTCCCCTAGGGCATGCTTTGAAAGGTTTAGGGCTGCCCTTGTTAGCTTTGGCTATGTACAGACACAGTCTGATCATACCCTCTTTTTGAAGAGGAGAGGATCCTTGGCCGTTTACCTGATTGTGTATATAGATGATATTGTTGTGACTGGTAATGATGTATCAGGGATTAATGATCACAAATCTTTCCTTCATACAGAGTTTGAGATCAAAGATCTGGGGGAATTGTGATACTTTCTTGGCATAGAAGTTGCTAGATCCAAAGATGAGGTCCTTATCTCTCAGAGAAAGTATGTACTTGATTTGCTTTCTGAAACAAGGAAGATGGGTGCTAGACTAGTTGTTACTCCTATTGATATGAGTCATAAACTCTCTACTTCAGATGGAATATTGTTGAAAGATAAGGGAGTCTTCCAGAGGCTACTTGGAAAACTTCTCTATCTATGCATGACTCGGCCAGACATTGCATATGCTGTCAGTTGCATCAGTCAGTTCATGCATGCTCCCAGGGATACTCACATGGTAGCAGCAGAGCGGATTCTGTGTTATTTGAAGGGTTCACCTGGAAAGGGAATTCTATTTGCTAAGCATAGCCATATGAAACTTGAAGCCTACACAGATGCTGATTGGGCCGGAAATATTGATGACAGAGGATCTACCTCTGGGTACTGTAGCTTGGTGATAGGTAACATTGTCTCTTGGAGAAGCAAGAAACAATTAGTTGTTGCCCAATCTTCAGCTGAAGCTGAATACATAGCCATGACTCAGAGTTTTTGAACTACTGTGGCTTAGATCCTTGATGGAGGAACTAGGTATTGAGCATGATAAGCTAATGATGTTATACTGTGATAATCAGACTGCCATCAACATTGCTCATAATCCAGTGCAACATGACAGAACTAAACATATTGAAGTTGACAAACACTTCATTCAAGAAAGAGTGGCTTCTGGAGAGGTGTGTCTACCTTTCATCACTTTTGAAGGATAGTTAGATGATTTCCTCACCAAGGGCATTCCCAAGGCTAAACTTCAGCATGGTACTGGCAAGCTTGGCATGATTGACATCCATGCTCAGCTTAAGGGGGAGTGTAGAGAAGATGGGCTGAATGGCCCATAGGCTGTTTATCTTTTTTATCTTTTATGTTCTTTGCTGTAATGGGTCTTAATCTGGGCTTTATTCTTTCTTATGCTATGTTTTTTAATTTTCTACCCAACTAGGGGCCTCTCTGTAAATTACTAAAATTTAACTTAATGAAATGGAATTAGGGGTGTAAGAAGGAGGTTATATTCAAAAATCTCTCTCTTTGAACCCTAGTTGCCACCACCTTCTTCTTCTTCTTCTCTCTTCTTGAAACCTGATTTCTGCTCTTTTGATTTTCTGCAACCTTTTAAACTGTCCTTTCTTTTCAAAAGGCTGTTTTTCTTCTGAGACCATTCATGAAAATTTCTTCCATCAAGTTTTATAATAATAATATGCCCTTTGGCATTGTCATTACTTCCTGGGAGGACATAGGTAGGTATGCAAACATCATTGTCTGAGTCCATCGATCACCACCCCTCTAAAAACACCTTTCTCACCAACACTACAATATCCCAACACTGGCTGAACACCCAAACACCTTTCCCTCAAGGTTAAACACGAGCTATAACAATAAAACAAGGAAAAATAGGTGTTGGCGGCAAAATAGAGAAAGAAAAAAATTTCCCAAAAATGTTTTAGGGCTCCAAAAAATCTGAGACTACTTCCTATAGTCTCAGAAATTTACCACGATTCAAACACAAGAAGATTTAACAGCAACCAATCCACCATGCGAGCATGCAAGCCCTCAACTCCATATCTGTATTTTTTGCCAAGTTTCATCCAAAAAATCCAAGAAAAATATAAATAGCTTCAAACCTCCATGAAAGCTATATCAAAATTCCTCTAAAAATGAGGCACATCAATGGGCATCAGAAACGCATATGGATGCCTCTGACTGTATGGAACTGGCAGTGTGCCGACATCAGCAGGTTTGTCTATGAGTCACGACTAACAGCTAATGCTCTCCTTGATCTTACGATGCTCTAATACCAAGTTAAAGTAGGTTTTGTCGAGAGCTTGTGGTGTATTATTGTTCAAACCTTGAAATCCTTTCACTTAACATATTGAAGAAAATTACAAAGGGGCCCTTGAATAGGCACCCAAATACAAAAAACATGAAAGGGCATAAATGCCCTTACACTTTCAACATGCAAAACAGGATTCATGTGGCAACCCCATATAACTGGGATAAGGCTTAGATGATAATGATTTTAATCATAGTACATAGTAGTTGCAAAGAGGAGTTTTGTTTACTAAAAAGGGAATCTTGGCAAGGGAATTCACAGCATGATAATATGGAGGTGGAAATTTTCATAGACACAAGTTGGGCAAGTTCATTAGAAGACAAAAGCTTAACTTTTGGGTAATGTTCTTTCATTGGAGGTAATATCATGGTTTATGGAGAAGTAAAAAGCAGTCAATTGTTGCTTAATCTAGTGCAAAGGTAGAATGTAGAACCATGGCACATGGAGTATCAAAGGCCTTGTAGTTGTGATCACTACTTGAATAGTTGGGAATATACCAATAAAGAAGCCATTGGTGCTTATTGTGATAATAAAGTGGTGTTTAATATTCTCACAAGTCACAACTGAGTGCAATATAAAAGGACAAACCATATTGAGGTTTATCTCCACTTTATATGAAAAGGAATCATGTTTGGTGAAGTTTTTCTCCCTTCGTGAAGACAAATCAGTTGTCAGATGTGTTCACTAAAGAAGCTTATTCTATGTTGAATTGATTTATAGTATATGTACTCTAATTAATTATTCTAAATCGGTGCACACATATACTAAAATAAATAGAGTAAAATAGGTAAGAAAGAAAAATAGAAAGATATCCCAATATGGAGAAAAGAACTAATGGGAATTTATGATACAATACTATGGAACCTTTCTATTCCCTACCTATATTTGATACTTTATATTTATGCAATTGCTCTAAATTTAAGATTCAAGGTCACATTATTAAGATAAATCTGAAAATTAGTTTCTCTTGGGTGGAGAAAGTCAACTATTAGAAAAGGAATGGAGAAGGGAAAAAGAAAACTTACTTCAAAGCCACAAAGGTCAGAAAGAAGGTTGCATTTCTAGGTAGGCCAACTCCAAGCATATTGGCAATACTGTTGGGATCCTTCTCAAGGGTCTCAGATGCACTAAACAAGGTGCCACCAACTGTAACTCCAATAAATACATTTAAGACAGTGAAACAGAAATACTTTCCCGAGGCAGCTCTCACGGCATGACTTTCAGAAGGGATCCCCTCAGCCTTGGATAGAATCATAAGAAAATTTGGCAGCAATGCCAAGAATACAATAAGTGCAATATTAGGCAGATAAGCTTCCAAAATTGTCTTAACCACTTGTTGATGCACAATTGGCTTCATAAATGGCAGGAGCTTCTCCAGATTCTTCACAGTTGTGAATGCAGAGATGAAACCAATTGGGAACATGTAGAAGAATATGGTCAATGCCACTACAACATAAACCATATACCGCCGTATCTGCCTGTAATAGAACTTCATTTTAAGATTACTCCATATTACTTGGCGGGGTTCAGGGGCTTCTATCACAGTCCACGTGTCAAGCATCTGGGCATGAAGTGACTGAGCTGCAGAAGCTGCAGCCAACCTGTTATTAAAGAAGACAAAGGCAGCAGATAGCTGTTTCTCTCTGATGGTCAGCTTCTGTTCAGCCTCTAGTTTTGGGGTAAGTTTTTTTATCTTCTCATTGCAGTAATTTATTGTGTCTACTTTTCGTCCTATGAGACCAAGGAAGCCAACTCTGTTTGTAGGTCTTTTTCCTTCCGGTTGGCTTGTTGTTTTTGATTTTGCAAATACGGCTTCTGCTTGGGCGAGCTTCTTTTTGTATCCTTCCAGTTCTTCCCATATTTTGTTAACCTGAATAAAGCCAAACAAATAAAACAAACAACTTCAAATACTAGATTGCATGGTATGAACATAAAGTGGGCATGAATCTACAACAAACTTCACCAATTAGGTAAGCATAGCTAACGCAGAGGATTTAATATGATCAGAGAAAAATGGTAAATGGTACAGGAAAATGGTCTACAAAAGAATTACTGTGGTCTTTGCGCTATTGGAAGAACACTGATGATGAAAAACTCAGCAACATACCTAATAATTGGTAAGGAAAAATGATAAATGGTACAGGAAAATGGTCTACAAAAGAATAACTTGGTGCTTAATTTTGCAAGAGTTCGAAATGATGCAGATTTGTTTTTAAGAATGGCATGCAAGACTAGGCTCAAGCCTGTATTATTTGATATATTTCTTTTGTAATGGATTTATAATTTTATACTGTTGAAGTGTCTTTATTTATCTTATTTTCTATTTACGGTCAGTAGGGGCGTAGTTGGGATTTCATATTATGTTATGTTATATTTCTCTTCTTTGTTAGTTAGGGGTAAAGTTTTAATTTGATATTTATTAGTAAATCAATAAAAGTGGGCGGCAGTTAGAGAGATGAACAGACTCTCGATGTCTACTACTTTCAGCCCTAGTTCTTCACTTCTTCTTACATCTATCTCTACTCTTTCTCTTTCAGACTGAGACTTCTAGGGGAGATTTCTACTATTTTTACCACTTATTTTATTCTATTTTTATTTATTTTGAAGATGGTATCAGAGCATATTCACACAACTGATTAGAGAACTCTGTTACTGAACACCATGAACAACTTTCTCCCTTCTATAATCAATCTTCAAAAAGGGTTTGATTATAATCGACTATGGTCAGGAGAGTTTCTACTTCACATGTTGATTCTACCTCAATAATCGAAAACTCAGCTATGGCAGCTAATAGAGGTGGAAGAGGAGGTATACGTGGCAGAGGTACTGGAGTAAGGGGTGGTGGTAGAGGTGGACAGATAGGTGGTAGGGATGGAAGTGGTGTTTGAGGATGAGATACTGGTGGATGTGGCTTTATTCGTGAGTGAAATCATTGAGGGAGAGAGGGACAAACAATTGCTTGTTGTTATGATTTGCATGGTCCTCCTTCCACATGGGCTAATCATGCATCTATTTGGGGAGGAATCTACTATTAATGATACATCTACTTCTGCAACAGGAAAAGACGAGTTAGTTTTTATAATACAAGGAGTATGAAAAACATTGTCTATCATCTTCTTCTAGTGGTATTGTGATCCTTGCCAAATCATGTATTATGTGTCTAGTTTCTCAGTCCAAACCATCTACATGGACTATTGACTTTGGAGCCTTAGACCATATGACTGGGTCTCCATATGTGTTTTCCTCCCTTACCACTCTTCCACATCACAATCATTTATTACTTTGGCCGATGGTACTACTTCCTCAGTTTCTAGTACTGGCAATGTAACTCTTGATTCATCATTACCCTCTGTTCTTTATGTTCCTAAATTCCCCTTTAGTCTCTTGTCTGTTTGTAAATTAACCAAGGCATTGATGGCAGGATCTCAAGATGGGGAGGATGATTGATGGCAGGCATGAAGCTGGAGGACTATACTATCTGGATGGTGGTGGCACTTGAGGGCTGTACTATCAAAAGGTCAAGCTTTTGGTAGTATATAAGTTGTGAGAATCAGATGGATGTGTTTTTCTTTTCTTTTTTGGATTGGTGGTGTTTGAAGTTGTTTCGACTACTGATTTCACCATTGTGTAAGAAGTTCTGTGTCTTCCAGCTGCTAAGTGTGCTGTTAGCAGACAGACAGTCCTGTTTTTCCTTTGTTGTTGCTGCTTTTATCTTTTGGTACAAGTTTTAAGTGTGGTTGTTGCATTTTGTTGTGTTTGGGAAATGTCTACTAATGATTCAATCATATCCAAACGACCAAAGTCATCAGAAGTCAGAATATGGTCCAGGGGCTGAAAGTTGGAGTTTCCCTGTATCTATTACTTGGAGTGGTCAAAAAGTGTTAAACTGTATATGGGCTCAAGAGGAAAGATTGGATATTTGTTTGGTGATGCTCCTCAACCCAAGGAGGTTGGTCCTACTCGTGATAAGTGGGATTAAGACAATTATTTGATTTTGTCTTGGCTTGTTACCTCTATTTGCCCTAGCCTGAGGACGAACTTTATGTGATCTAATACAACAAAGGAGATTTGGGATCAAGCTAAGGCTATTTTTTTCTAAGCAGGGATACTATGCTCGTATTTATCAACTTTAGGTTGAGTCATCCACTTGTAAACAAGGGGAGAAAAGTTTGTCATCCTACTATTCTTCCCTTACCTTGATGTGGAAGGAACTTGATTATTATCAAACAGTTGATTAAAAGAATGAGTCAAATGCAAGAGAGTATAAAAAACTTGTGAACCAGCAATTCGTGCTTGCCTTCTAGGCTGGTCTTAACCGTAGTTATGAGCCCATTAGAGTTCAAATTTTAGGGAGTAAGGAGCTCCCATCACTTTAGGAAGTGTACTCTCTGGTTCAGTCAGAGGAAAGTAGGAGGATAGCCATGAATCCTCCAGAGGGGGAGTAGCAGGTTGCTCTCTTACCCAAGGGAATGGAAATAAAAAGGGTGGTGTAGGGATGAAGAGAGCTGAGGAAGTTGACAAAGATAAGTTAAGGTGTTCTCATTGTGGTAGACCAAACATGCCAAAGAGACATGTTGGGACCTTGTTGGCAATGCAGTTTCTGGTGGTTCGTCTCAAGAGAGTATCTCCACAGGTTAAACTTTTCTAATTGGTATCAATGCTAACTTGGTATATAGGACCAACTGCAAAAAAGCAGTTTAGCCATATACTTGTCCAAAATTGAATGGGCTTCTCTTGCTTTAATCTAATCCAATCTGGATTTTTTAAGTATGGGCCGAATTGGTCCATGTAATGGCCCATAAAACCCTTGACCTAAGTTATAATTTGATCACTTAACAGTAATCTTTGAGGGCTGTTAACAGTCCTCAAACAACCATAGGTTCGGCCCAACTATTTGGACCAATCCTAGGTCAATTTGGCTTAGGTTTTGGTGTTCCAAACCATGCACCACTTTTAGGGTTCATGATCTGAATATTCTCAGTTCAGATTCATAATTAAAACAGCAGAAAGATAACACACAAACATATAAAAAATAAAATAAAATTGGCTGGGAGTGTGGTGGTCCGAATCTAATCCAGAAAAACTGCAACTAGCCATCAAATTGCTCCTAGTGCACCATTCTTGAACTTCTTCAAGTTCTGCGGTCTCAAGCTCTTTCTCTAATGTAAATCAACAAGATAATAAACCCTAATTTTCTAGTACTTACATCGGAAAAATCCTAATACAATTTGTCTAAGAAAAATAAAAAATAATTACAAATTGCACATAATAGCTGAAATCGCATTAATGTGAATAATTCGTTCAAATATTAAAGATTTCGATCTCCGCCACACTCTAGTCAGGAAGTCCAAGATTATACCATGAAATTATTCAAAAGAATAGCAGAAAAAAGAGACACAATATTCAAAATTACGCAGTACAGAAGTTTTTAGGTCAAACCAGCTAAACTAGTTTTGGCTGATTTGGCTCTTGGTTCAAATCTGCTCAAGTCCAGTGCTAGAACCAGACCTAGAGCTCTTATACCACTGAATAACAGACCGATAATCAATGGCTTGACATCCGGACCAGTTAGGCTTAATGGTTGAATTTCAAAAAATTTCAGTCCGAACCCGAGAACCGGATTCTCGAACTTTAGAGAATTGGATTTTCCATGGATCAATCTAGTATGTATTGAACCAGATTTGAAATCCAAAATTAAATTGAACATACCTGATACAGAGTCCACAAATTGAAGCTCCCAGATTGGTAGTTTGTGCCCAACACTAAAACCTAAATCAGCCTCCCACTTGAAGATGGTGCAATTGAAGCTGGATGTTGATCCTCTATCTAGTTTTCAGCTGAATTCGATCTCCAACAACCTTGGATGTATGCAGCTGTGAGAACTACTTCAATTCTGATGTTTTTCTTCAAAAACACAGCAGAGAATGATGGAAGAACAGTATCCTCCTAGGCTGGTTTGAATTAGGGTATGAGAAGTAAGAGAAAAGAGAAAGAGTGCAAGAGAGTAACTAGAATAGTGTAGGTCGAACTCTCCCTTTTGTCTTTATATATAGACCTCATTCCTAATGTAATTAGGACTAATCCAAATCTGATTTGGGTTAGTTCTCTAATTACATTAGATAATATGGGGATCCAAACCCATATTCAATCCAAATCACATAAGTTGTCATGTGACTAGTCTAACTAGTCTTACTAGTGAATGGGCTAAGGCACATTTCTTTAAGTGGTTCATCTACATAAATGTTGCAAGCCTTATTGGGCTTGAATAATGTATGGTGTGGGACCCATAAAGGTCTCATATTAGTCCTATGACTTCAGCCCATGTCTGGAAACACGTAGGCCAATTGTATTGGGCTCAATCTAGGCCCAACACTTAAGTCTAAGTTACCCTTGGTTCCAACCACCCTATGAAGCCCAAGGATAATGGATTGATATAATCATATAAGATAAAACCCATCAGGTTTTAGCCCTGTAATGGTCCTTTGCTCTTAACCTCTCATCCCTAAATGGTCAATAAACTACTTACAAGAAAGGATCTCTCTCCCTGACTATAAAATATAGTGTTACACCCTCTACTCAGATGGATCCTGGGATTAAAACCATTTGAAAACCTTTTTCATAAAATAATATATCACAAATATAAATACATCTTGCAAAGATATTTCAAAACTAGTTGAAATCCACTACTGACAGTTTTAGGTTTCCATCAAAGAGAGTATAAGTATTGATCTTCTCTTTGTATGACAAAGGGATTGATCCTATCACAATGATCACCTACTTAGATAATATTTTGAACTGCTCCAACATACCTAGGTATTTGACCCTAAGAGGATCTCACTAGTTGCCACATCAAAAGCAGCTCAGTCCAAG